TATATACTTGTTATTTTAGGGAACATAGATCTTGGGCCTTTATTACTTGAAGCATTGCTTATTTCTGGTGTTTCTTGCTTTTAACGTTAGTTCTTTTGCCCCCCAACTTTTTAAAAAATGTCTATCTTTTTTATTGTTTTTGACGTCCTCTTCTGGAGCATTTTACTATTTCATTTTCCTAAGAAAATACTTTATACTCATTGCTAAGAAAAGTAGTAGTTTTAATTCTGGTTAACTTTTATTTTGCTAGTGTCATTATTTCTCAGTGCTTTTTTATGGGTATTTTAAAAAATCTCTTTTAAGGCTGAAGAAAAAAAATTTCGTATTTTTAAAGTAGATCTCCAAAACCATTAAATCTCTAGAAGTAAAATGACAATTTCTTTATATGACCTGTACATTTTCTATATTTTGTTGTTTTTGTTTTGGCCAGCTAGATAGATGATCAGCTGAACACACTCCTGAAGGAGTTCCAGCTCACAGAGGAGAACACAAAGCTCCGCTATCTCACCTGTTCTCTTATTGAAGACATAGCAGCTGCATATTTTCCAGACTGTGCAGTCAGACCTTTTGGCTCTTCAGTGAACAGTTTTGGGAAATTAGGATGTGATTTGGATATGTTTTTGGATCTAGATGAAATTGGAAAATTCAATGCTCACAAGGTAATTATATATCTTTAGATCACTAAAATTGATATAATAGAAAAGTAGAGAAAATCTTTTAAATAAATTATAACTGTTGATTTCTAAAGTCAAGAGTACATACCTGGGTTGCGGGTTCGATCCCTGGCCCCAGTTGGGGCATGTGCAGGAGGCAACCAATTGATGTGCCTCTCTCACATTGGTGTTTCTTCTCTCTCCCTCCCTCTCTCTCCTTCTCCCTTCCCTCCCCCTCCATCTTCCTATCTTCCTGTCTTCCTTTCACTCTCTTTATAAAAATCAATGGAAAAAATATCCTTGGGTGAGGATTAACAACAACAACAAAAAGAATATGGTCTATTTGATATTGATTCTTTGGAATTGTAAAGTTTTGCTTTGTATTTGTCTAATATGTGATCATTTTTTCGTGAATATTCTATACATGTGTAATAAAATGGTTCAAGAGTTCAGAAATTTTTCAGAGAGGCTAACATTACTTATTGTATTCAAATTATCTGTATTTTTTTAAAAATATATTTTTATTGATTTCAGAGAGAGAGAAACATCAATGATGAAAGAGATACATCAATTGGTTGCCTCCCACACATGCCCCAACTGGGCCAGGGATTGAACCTGCAACCAAGGTGCATGCCTTTGACTGGAATTGAGCCTGGGACCCTTTGGTCCTCAGTCCGATGCTCTATCCACTGACCCAAACCAGCTAGGGCCAGGCCATCTTACTTAATTCTGTTTCTAAGTTTACTTTTTATGTTCATCTCTTCATTTAGATCCTCAAAATTATAGTCACAGTCCCTTAGAAACTCGCACTTAGATTATTGTCAAAGCATCCTGCGCTTACCTCATTTCTTGTGTCATACCTTAGTATTCCAACCTTCAGTCTGTACTAGAGGTCTTAAAACACAGGTTGGGTCTTCTCACAAACCTAGAATTGTTCATCTCTTTAGCATAGTATTGAAGTGATCTACCTCTTAATTAATTTTACTAATCATTTATCATGACATATTTTCACATCAGTTTTCCACTTAAATAACTTAATTATCATTTTCAGACTTTTAGAATATGAGTAGTAACCAAACACCCTTTCAGAGAGGATTGTTCTTTTCTCCATTCCCTGACTGTCATTTCTAACCGCTTTCAAGGCCTAGTTCTGACACTACCATCTTGAAACCATCCTTGATTTTTTTCTCCAGTCTTCTTTGTTGTATCTTGCTTGTATTTCTGTCTGTAAATCTCATGTTATGTTTAGTTAGTGGTTGAGTATGTCTTACTATATCATAACCTTGATATAGGACAGAACCATGTCCATTTTTTTTATCCTACATAGTATCTGGCATACTTAATATGCTCAGTATATACTTACTGAATTGAAAGAATAGGAAACACTTGGAAATGAATGGTTGTCTTTTACTAACATGTATTTGAAATTGTTTCTGGCAGACATTTTAATTTTGTTAGGCTATCCTATATAATAAAAGGGTAATATGCAAACTGACCCTAATGGCAGAACGACTGGGAAGGACTGGTTGCTATGACACGCACTGACTACCAGGGGGCAGACGCTTAACGCAGGAGCTGCCCCCTGGTGGTCAGTGAGCTCCCATGAGGAGCTCCACTCAGCCACAAGCTGGGCTGACAGCTGTGAGACAGCCTCGGCAGTGCTAAGGATGTCTGACTAACAGGGAGCTGGCCTAAGCTGGCATGTGGACATTCCCTGTTGGGTCCCGGACTGCGAGAGGGCACAGGCCAGGCTGAGGGACATACACCCTCCCACCCCTGAGTGCACAAATTTTTGTGCACTGGGCCTCTAGTTTTAAATAAAAGACTTCAATGAATAATCAAGGTGCATAGTAATATGTTGTAATAGTTGAAAGCCAAGGAGCCAGACTGCAGAAGAAATTCTACTTCCTAGCTATATGATCCTGGGTAAGTTACTTACCATTTCTGTGCCTCAAATGTGCTAGCTGTAAAATTGGAACATTACTGTAGTGCTTGAGGGGATTGATTGCACTAATATATGTAGAACACAGGACAGTACTTAGACTTAGTAAATGTTCAAATGTTGACCACCATCAGCAGTGGTAGTATTATTTTATTACTAGAGGCCTGGTGCACAAAATTCATCCACTGGGGTTGGGGCATCCCTCAGCCCAGGTTGCGCCCTCTCACAGTCCAGGAGCCATCAGTTGGACATCCTTATCGCTGCCTCAGAGGCAGGAGAGGCTCTTGCCTCAGCCACTGTGCTCGTCAGCCGTGAGCCTGGCTTCTGGCTGAGCGGCACTCCCCCTATGGGAGCACACTGAGCACCAGAGGGCAGCTCCTGTGTTGAGCGGGATTGGGCCTAAACCGGCTCTCCAACATTCCCCAAAGGATCCCAGATTGCAAGAGGGCACAGGCTAGGCCAAGGGACCCCACCAGTGCACTGTTGGGGCTGGGAAGGGACACGGGAAGTTGGCCAGCCAGGGAGGGTCTGTGAGAGGGCTCTAAGGCGTGTCCAGCCCATCTCACTCAGTCTGGTCAGTGCACGTTGTAGTGAGCAGTTGAGTGGCCTTAGCATATCATTAGCATATTATGCTTTGATTGGTTGAATGGACGATGAGGCACTTAGCATATTAGGCTTTTATTATATATGACTAGAGGCCCGGTGCACAAAAATTTGTGCACTTGGGGGGAGGGGTGGTCCCTCAGCCCAGCCTGTGTCCTCTCGTAGTCTAGGACCCCTCGGGAGATAACGACCTGCTGGCTTAGGCCTGCTCCCGGGTGGCAGAGGGCAGGCCCAATCCCTAGGTGCAGCCCCTGGTCGGGCTCAGAGCAGGGCCGATTGGGGAGTTGGGGCACTGCCCCCTGTCACGCACAGAGCAGGGCCCATCAGGGGGGTTGGGGCTGCGTACCCTGGCATGCACAGAGCAGGGTCAATAAGGGGGTTGGTTGGGTAACTCCCCCCCGTCATGCACAGAGCAGGGCCAATAAGGGGGTTGGGGAGCTCCCCCCTGTCACTCACAGAGTAGGGCCGATAGGGGAGTTGGGGCACCGCGTCCTGTCACACTCAGGACAGGGCCAATGGGGAGGTTATGGCTCTAGCCCATCACACACAGAGCAGGACTCATGGGGGAGGATGGTTAGGGGCACCACCCTCTATCACCCACAGAGCAGGGCCAATCAGGGGGCTGGGGTGCCGCCACTCTCACACTCAGGGCAGGGCCGATGGGGAGGTTATGGCTCTACCCCGTCACACACACAACAGGGCCCGTGTCGGGGGTGGGGGAGTTTGGGCGCCACACCCTGTCACACACAGAGCAGGGCCGATCAGGGGGTTGAGGTGCCGCAGCCTGTCACACACAGAGCCGCAGGGCGATCAGGGGGTTGGGTAGCCCCCC